AAAAAAAAAAAAAGATAGTAGGTAACATCTGGGATCTGAATGATACTTCAGACTATCTAGGGAAGAAAAAAAAAGAATGGTCCAAATAACTAAGTAAAATGAAAATATAGAACTACATTAATATTTATATGAATATTACATCATATATTGTAATGCTATACTAGTTGAGCAAATTGAGGAAGTCCTTTTGCTTACAAAAGGCATGTAGAAAGTTCTATAAGTTGAAATTCTCTGAGTCAAATACTAATTTTTCCATAGAACTAATATATAATAAAGTATTAATCTAAGGTGTCATGCCAAATATTCTCAAAAGTTTGACATAATTTCAAGCATCATAGTCAACAGAACAGCTAATAAAATATAAAAGACATACCCATACACTACACTACCTACTTCTAAAGTTTTCGGAAAGATACATAAGTCAGTTTAACTGAACATTGCACTAGCAAATCACTAATGTTTCCAAACTTGCTTAATCTATTTGAATCTCTCATTATTTTTATTACATGACTCATTATTTTTATTGTATCATCCTTTTAAGTATGTACAAACATTAAGTAGACCTAAATATGACATACATGATTGCTCCCATAAAATGATACATTCAAAAGAAATTTACAAACAATGTATGATTTATGTAAGCATTATTGTGACAGATGATGTTTAATGAACCCTAATTGCCTCTCTCATCATGAATGTAGTGCTTAGTCCTTTTGGAGAGTGATAAACCTGTCCTTCTAAGAACTGAATAATGATCACATTGTTCTCCCACTTTCTCTAACTGGCGCTCTGGGCAATCCTCAACTGCCCAGTTCATCATGAGGTCACTTGGCCTTTAGTTGTTCTGAGCACACAATCTATGTATTTTACCTTAGTTTAGTCTTAGCCAGCAATATTTAACAGAGTACTATCGATGCTTATGCCATATATATATATGTTATTTCTAATTTTCTACCGATAAAAGTAATGATAGAGTTTACATCTTTGTGCCTGTCTTCTTTCTTTTAGTATTTTAGATTACTTCCTTCTAGTAGATTCCAAGAATCTGAAATAAGAACTAAAGAGTATAAACATTCTAAAGGCTAAGGATTTTTATTGCCAGACTGATTTCTGGAAAGCAGAGTCAACCAGTGTTTCCCATGCGGTTTGTGGGTGCACTCACCCCACTGCACTCTTGCCACTATTGATGAGCTTTCCAATTTGAGGGGTAGATGTGATGTCTTGTGGGGGATTTGATTTGTCCTTAATTTTTGAATTATTAGAAAGGTTGAACATCTTTAAAAAATAATTATTCATAAATTAAATTCCATAATCTGAACAATCTGATCTCTTCTGTGCCCATTTGCTTATTACAGTCTTGGTGTTTTTCTCAATGAATTCTATGATTCTCTGTCTCTCTCTTTCTCACACACCCACAGAAATTTGTGAAGGATATTAAGTGTGTTATGCATTTGATTATAATGCCTGTTGAGAATCAGTATCCAGTTTGTTGTTTGCCTTTTAATTTTGTTTCTGGAATTTGCTTTTTTTTTTTCATAAAATTAAGTATTAAAAAATCTACTGTGGTCAAATAGTTGATAAATATTCATGTATAATTTATTCACATTTATACATTTTTATATAAATTTTTACATGCAATGTTGTTTCCCATGAAGTTTATATGGTGTACCATGAGGTACACTATAGTTTTTCACTAAAACTAAAGTTTTCACTAAATAATTAACTTCCTATCCCAGCATCATGTAATTAATAAGCCTTAAATTCGCTACTCACTGGTGACGCTACCTTTATGAATTCTATTATTAATTTCATATACATTCACACAAACACACACCCACATTAGGGTCTGCCCTGGATGATGCTGTTAGGTTCCATTCATTTCATTCCTGTGGAGGTATCACACTGAAATTAGGGCAGTTTGCAAATAAATTTTAATGTCTTGCAAAGCAACTTTCCCTCAACTCTTTTCAAAATGTCTTTAGTCTTTCCTATGTATTTATCCTTCTAGTTGCATTTTAAAATAATTTTGCCAGGTTTAAAAGAAAAAAAAACTTTCACTGAAACTATATTGCAGTTAAATTAAAGCTATGAGCTTCTTGGGAATATTTGGTATTTTTATAGTTTTGCTTCTTTTTTTAATTCAATATTTTGTCATATTCAATTTTGGAATTATTAAGTAGTTTATATTATTTTAAATTGTTAGTGCAAATGTGGCCTTTTTTTGGTTCTTGAATTTATCTCTATTAAATATGATTTTGGGTATAGGTTTTCATGTTTGTTTTGTTTCTTGAGATAGCTGCCACACAATATTACAGTAGTTTTAGGTGTATAGCATAGTGATTTGACAACTCTATACATTAAGCTGTGCTCACCACAAGTGTAGTTACCATCTGTCACCACGCAACACTATTACAATACCCTTGACTATATTCCCATTGCTGTACCTTTTATTCCATGACTTATTCATTCCATAACTGGAAGCCTATATCTCTCACTCTCCTTTACCCATTTCGCCGATCCCTCTGCCCCTCTTCTTTCTGACAACCATCATTTTGTTTTCTGCATTTATGAATCTGATTCTGCTTTTTGTTTGTTTATTCATTTCTTTTGTTTTTTAGATTTCACATATGAGTGAAAATAAGGTATTTGTCTTTCTCTGTCTGACTTATTTCACTCAGCATTATACCCTCTAGGTCCAACCATGTTTTGCAAATGGCAAGATCTCATCTTTTTATGGCTGAGTAATATTCCACTATATATACATACCACATCTTGTTTACCTTTTCATCTATGGATGGACACTTGGGTAGCTTCCTTATCTGCTATTGTAAATAGTGCTGCTATAAACAGGAGTGCATGTATTGTTGGTGGGAATGCAAGCTGGTGCAGCCACTCTAGAAACGAGTATGGAGGTTCCTCAAAAAGTTGACAATAGAGCTATCCTACACTCAGCAATTGCACTACTAGGGATTTACCCCAAAGATACAAATGTAGTGATCTGAAGGGGCACCTGCACCCAATGTTCATAGCCACAATGTCCACAGTAGCCAAACTATGGAAAGAGCCCAGATGTCTATCAACAGATGAATGGATAAAGAAGATGTGGGTATTATAAGAGACTGATGAATCACTGACCTCTAACTCTGAAACTAATAATATATTATATGTTAATTAATTGAGTTCAAATTTAAAAAATAAATTAGTGTTTTTGTTTTCTTTGGGTAAATGCCCAGTAGTGGAATTATTGGATCATATGGTATTTCTCTTTTTAATTTTTTGACGAACCTCCATACTGTTTTCCAAAATGTGTTCTTTTTCATTCAATTTTCAAGCTCGTTAGAGCTGGATGTTCAGGAAAATTAGTTAAACTGTATTATCTTAAATTCATCTACTTTGTTGTATATAATAATATTTTTGTTAATTCTCTTGGGTTCTCTAGGTATATGATCCTGACGTATAAAAAATAAAGATAACATATTGTTACCTCTGGTCGAATTATTTTCCTGAATTGTGTGTTTTTGCCTTGGCCTTTAAAGTTCCATTTTGTGAATAATCTGACCTCGCCTTTGCCCATTTACCTATTATGATCTGAGTGTTTTTCTCAGTGAATTATATGATTCTCTGTTTCTGTCTCCCTCAAATACACACACACACACACACACATTTGTGAAGGATATCAAGTAGCTTATGAACATAGTGCTTTGACTATATATATCCTTAGTGAAATATATTCTAAGGACAAAAAAATCTATAAAGAAATATTCACTTTTACTGAGGAGTTTTATGAATATTGTATGTTGATGATATAATTTTAAGACTCTGGTATGCATTCATATAGCAGAAAGCAAATAAGCAAATATATTAACACTATTGGCAAAAAGTTTTTCCAGGTAAGAAAAAGATGAAGCAAACATAAAACTGTTAAAAGTTAACATAAACTCTGTTATGTTATATTTGAATTGAATATATCAACATTGTCAAAATGAACTCATGACTAAAAAAATAAAACAGAATAATTCTTAGTTTCAGGTAAAGGCCAAGAGGACATAATATTCCAATAACAATGAATACATTCTAGTACTCATTTCTAATGATTGCCAAATATCATTACTCACTAAAAGGAACCTTGTCTCCTTGAAGAAATGGCTGATTTCAGGGGCAAGAAAAATATAAGCCTGGGGCATCTAGTTTTTCCACAAGCAAAGAAGTGTTCAAAGATAGATGGGTCATGTCAAAAGGATATGAAAGTCAACTTGAAAGGGCTCCTACTGGCCAAATTTAGCATCAAAAGAAAGAGTAACTGCAGATAATTATAATATATTGGAAAAGAAATTTTTTAAATGCTTGAGTCCTTGGTGGGACTCAAACCCGGAGAGCTGGAAGAGAGAGACAGAGAGAGAGATGCCAGCCAGTAAATATAGAGGGAATGCTAGACATGGAAAATTACCTCTTTGCAAGTCCCAGTGTGATAACTAAATAAAGAAAAAATTATCAACGAATTTTAAAACCATTAAGTGAAATGTTGTTGGAGAAGAATATTCACATAGTACCAAATTATCACCCACAGATTAGTTACTAGTTCTAAATGGAAAATATGCCTTTATGTTTTGATGTGTGGTGATCACTCAAAAAGAACTAACCTTGATAATATTTGGAAATAACACATCAAAAACCATCAGTCTTCCATTGTTCCTAATCAATTTCAATTATCTAATTTTCTTTGCCTCATAACTGGAACAAATCCTGGCATACGTAATATAGAAAAGCTGCCCCAGAAGATCCCGGTGCCCATCCTTGGTTAAGAACCATTGACACAGAGAGCATCCAATATTCTTGTGAAGTTTTTAATCTATTTCACACCCTTTTTCTCACTGCTCATTTTATGTCTACTTTTTATATTATATTGGTCAAAATTGGCCTATTTGAACGCTTTTTTTTCCTAGCACAGGCATTAGATTGATTAATGCCACTGTTTTTCTGTTTCCCAATTCCATAACCTCTGCTTCCACCTTTATTATTTTCTTTTTTTTTTAAGATTTTTTTTTTATTTATTTGACAGAGAGAGACACAGTGAGAGAGGGAGCACAAGCAGGGGGAGTGGGAGAGGGAGAAGCAGGCTTCCCACCGAGCAGGGAGCCCGATGCGCGGCTCGATCCCAGGACCCTGGGATCATGACCTGAGCCGAAGGCAGTCGCTTAACCAACTGAGCCACCCAGGCGCCCCAACCTTTATTATTTTCTTACACCAATTTTCTTCAGCGCAATCTCATTGCTTGTGATATTTCATGTCTTGTAATTTCAGGAAATAAATAATTTATCCATTTTTAACATTTCTTTTTAAGCAAAGTCAAGTTATGCATTTCCTTCCAACCGCAGGGTAAACATCTATTTTATTTTTGTTGTTTTATTGTTTTTGCAGTAATCCTTGTTGTATGTTTGATTTCCTCTGTGGTTTATAATTTTGATCCACAAAATAGAGGAGAGTTCTCTTAAATTTCCAAGTGCTTATAGGCTTTTTTATTTCCATTTAAACTTTCTTCTTGGTTTCTTCTTTTATTATAGACACCATGATTTTTTTTTAAAAGGTGCTTTTTAAATGATTTGCTTTAGCGAAGTTATTGATTTTTTGGATCTGATAATTAATTTTTGTGAAAGTTATTTGGAATGTTGAAAAGAATATATGATCTGCCGTCCCCTCCCACTGTTGCTCTCTTGTTCTCTATTCTTCTGTGTACTTGACCTGTCTTAGTGATATTTTAAATTCTTGAAATTTTTTTCTAAAACTGTCACTTGTGTTTCTAAGACATTTTAAAAATATATTTTGGCTGCTAGTTACTAGATGCATAAAAGCTCATGGTAATCACATCTTCATTTTGGGTATTAGCTGTTAAAAGACTAAAACTCTATAACCTAACCTCCACATCCTGAGCCACCTGCCTTGACTGGCCACCAGCCTCACTACCCTCCAGTCTTCTCATCCCTTCCCATCCTATCACTCTGGCCTTCCTTCCAGTGTTCAAACACACCCCGCTCATTTACCACAGGCCTTTGCACATGGGTTACCCTCCTTGGGGAGATCTTCTCCAAACAATTTATCTAGCTAATGCCAACTCTGCTTTCAAGTCCAAATCTAAATATCACTTTTCATTCTAAATTCAGTTTACAACTGCACAGTCTAAATTCAGTTCTCCTTTAGATGTTTTTGTGGCACCTTGGAACTTTTCTTCCTAGTACTGATCACAATTAGCAACTCTGTTTTCATTAGAATAGTGTAGTATAGCATCATTGTACAGTATCAGTCTCTCTTGCTAGTCTATAAGCCCCACAAGGTCATGGATTGAGACTGTTTTGCTCACTACTATATTCCCACTTACTAGCATAATACCTGGCCCACAGTAGGCACAGCCTCCTAGTACATACAAACATTCACTGTCAAGGAACTCACCCACCTAACTATAATCTGGGAGAGGGAGGTAATTTAAATTGAGTCACTAAGTTTCCAGCAACGGGGAGAAAAAAAATTTAATGCATATATTTAACTCCTAACAACATGGGAGTTGGGATGCTGACCCCCATACCATCCAAAATCCACATATAACTTTTGACTCTCCAAAAACCTAACTACTAATAACATAAACAACACATATTCTGTATGTTGTATGTATTATATACCATATTCTTACAATAATGTAAGCTAGAGAAGAGAAAATGTTATTTTAAAAAATCATGAAGAAGAGGAATACATTTACAATATTGTGCTATAAAAAATCTGTATGGGGCGCCTGGGTGGCTCAGTTAGTTAAGCGACTGCCTTCGGCTCAGGTCATGATCCTGGAGTCCCGGATCGAGTCCCGCATCGGGCTCCCTGCTCAGCAGGGAGTCTGCTTCTCCCTCTGACCCTCCCCCCTCTCATGTGCTCTCGCTCTCTCTCTCAAATAAATAAATAAAATCTTAAAAAAAAAATCCATATATAAGTGGACCCACACAGTTCGAGGGTCAACTGTAGATATATACAGAAATACATATACATGTGTTTCCTATTACGACTGCTACTTCTCCTTCCAGAGAACACAAAAACTATGAACACAGAAATATGTGTGGGGATATGTGTAAGTATCTGGAGTTTTAGTGAGACTTGTGCTTCAGTTTTACTGAAAATGTCTCGATTTTTATGACTGGCGCAGAAATCGTGCATTAGCCTTTAATTTTGTTTATGAACTTATCAACTGTTTTCTTTCAGCTTCTAAATAACTTCTTCAAGGACCCATTCCCAGAAGAGTTTTTGGTTCTCTTCAGAAACTGGGTCAATGACTCCAATCCTGCAGTTAGCAAGCTGAGCCTTCAGAAAATCGCCAGCATGGCGCCAGTTATCAATGAGGCACGTGAGTGTGTGATTTGTGGATGCCGTCACCATCATAGTCAATCTAAGATTTGATATTGTTCAAGATCCTTACTGATAAAACACTGATATTTCTCGGTTTCTGTATAGCTAAAACAATTTCAAAGCCTGGGTTGAATGGAAGCAGTGTGGTAAGTAAACTCAGACGCTTAAGCACCCTGTTTATATTCTTCCTAGAAAATCATTAATTGCCCTTAGAATGGATCAGCATTGCCCTACACAAACTCCTAGAGGCTAAACCACACACACATAAGTTAATTTCCCCTCCAACATACACACCTGCCGACACATTAATTCTTATCCCAGAGCACTCGCTCAAGTTTTGTCTTCCACTCAGCACATTCCTCCTTTACCCATACATAGTCACATTGGTCTCTGTTCTCAGCTCAGGTCAGACTGTGCGGGAATATTCTGACCTGCCAGTCACATCCTTCTCAGAGCCACACCCACTATGAGCACTTGCTTATGCAAGACTTTATATTAATAGTTCTCTATATATGATGCTTGAACCAGCAGTATCAGCATCTCCCAGAAACTTGTTATAAATTGTTGGGCCCTACCCCAGGTCTGTGGAATCAGAAATCATGGAGGTGGGGCCCACCAACCTGTGTTTTTGAAAATCCTCCAGGTGATTTTAATAGTTTAAACTTGAGAACTGTCTTACACTCTTTCCTATTGAGCCATGTGAATACTTCTTGCCTTCCAGGAAGACCGAATCTAAGCGTGTTTTGTAATTCTCTTATAAATCCTTTTTTTTTTAAGTTTTTATTTAAATTCCAGTTAGTTAGCATACAGCTATCTGTCTTCAGCTCAGGTCATGATCTCAGGGTTTTGTAATATTAGTTTCAGGTGTACGATTGGGTGCTCCAACACTTCCATACAACACCCAGTGCTCATCACAAGTGCCCTCCTTAATCCCCATCACCTATTTCACCCATCCCAAAGTACTTTGCATAATGGAATTATGCTGATTCCATAAATCATTGTTGACTTAATAAGTTTAATAATAAGTCCTTGTTTATCTATTAAGCATTGTCTCTAAAGGCTCAAAGACTGTCCGTGGGCACCCATTTTGCATTTAGAATGAAATGAGCCATGATTTGTTTGCTTTAAATAAATCACAGAAGTCAGTGTGCATTCTTTTAATAATCAGAGTTATTGCCTTGTCTAGAGCTCTTCCCACTGTTATTAACAACTGAAAGGAAGATTCTATGTCAAGGTTATTTGGGAGAGTAAGAGAGAAACCGTGGAGAGTGAGCTGGGTTGAGGTCACATACTATTTATTGGTAAAGACAACTTCTCAGAGACACAAGGCCTCTGATTATTATTTTGGCAAATAGTATTTATTTCTTTTGCTTCGTCTCTTTCTAGCTTTTGTTTCTCTTCTTTGGTGTCTCCTTTTTGCCTTTTTCCTTGCTTTCTATTCTGTTATCTCTGATCCACAATTGACTCTCATGATCTGGCTCAGCAGCTCAGCAGCTCCCATGTCCACACGAGTCACCAGCACCTGGTTTAGAGGTCATCCTGCTCATGGTGTGCTGGTGAATGCTTAACAACCAGCTCTCTGGAAATAATACCAATTGCTGTGGTGTACTCTCACCAAGGCTAATTTCAAGCAATCAAAGGGACAGAATTAAACATAGAATTGGGGAGAAATGCCTGGTAGTGCCTCATTATTTAATATTTCCACCATACAGATATAATACATGTAAATAACCTCAAAGGCATATAAGAGTAAAGTGGAGCAAAAGAAATAGGAAGTGCTAAGTTTTGAGTATTTATTACCTTTGTTTTATCTCTTCCTAGTTTTCTAAAACTTACTTTTTTAATAATGACTTTTTAATTTTAACTCCAGTGTAGTAAACATGCAGTGTTATATTAGTTTCAGGTGTACTATGTAGCGATTCAACAACTCTATACATTACTCAGTGTTTATCGTGATAAATGGACTCTTAATTCCCTTTACCTGTTTCACCCATCCCTCACCTCCCTCCCCTCTGGCAACCATCGGTTTGTTCTCTATAGTTAAGAGTCTGTTTTAACAATCGGCTTACAAAGTTTTTGACAATTTGACAATTGAATCTTGTGAGGCATTCCCAGCACATGACTGTACGCTGCCCAAACTCAGACGTGTGTGTGCCAAATGCTACCTCAAGTCTCCTTCTAGTTCCAAAATCCAACCATTTTCCTCTTTTATATATAGATAGAAAATGTCTGCAGCTTATTAATATCCATCTTGGATGCCTTCCTTTCAAAAGACAAGACTGTTATAATTCGGGCCTTGATCACCCTTCGAAGACTTTTAGTCAAGCTGGACAAGGTGACCTACTCCTCTTTGTGTACTAGAATTGCCTCCAGCTACTGTCCTCTGATGGATCATGTGAGTTACACAGTTAGATATGTGAAACCATTAAGTTTTATAATTAAGCTGAAGCCCCAGCTGAGGCAATGATATTACATTTCAGAATAAATCAACAGAAGATAGTCATGTTGTGCTGAGCTACCATTTCTTCTCCAGAGATAACAATATTAGTCAAAGAAGTACTGTCTGTATATATATATATATAGTTATATACATATGTAACTACATTTTATATATATTTGTGTGTGTGGAGACATATATATATATAACTACACTATGAGAACCTGGAAAAGTTTGTCCATAAGAAAGGAGAATCAAAGAACAGCCTCTGTCTTTGGAGGAAAGAGAAATTGTACGTAGCTTAGGGCTATATATTGGCTAGCCCTAGATCAGGACTGCCTGGGTTCAAATCATTATTCTGGCTCCACCTAAGCAGGTGATTCAGTTTCTTACTGCTTCAGTTCCCCCCACCCCCAATAAAATAGAGATAGTAGAAGGTGTATTATGGGCATTAGAGATGACATGTTAATGTTCCCAATGTGTTTGTTATTATCATATAAAACTCAAAAGGTCTGAGTGGCTCAGTTGGTTAAGCATCTGTCTTCAGCTCAGGTCATGATCTCAGGGTTTTGTTATCGAGTCCAGAATTAGGCTCCTTGCTCAGAGGGGGCCTACTTCTCCTTCTGCCTGCTCCTCTGCCTGCTTGTGCTCTCTCTCTCTGATAAATAAATAAAATCTTAAAAAAAAAATAAAAGATCTTTAATCGAAAAGTTGTGCACTTTGAAAATTCTTGTTTTGTATGGTAAATGTATTCCAGAAAAATTGGATGACAGTAACATATTTTAATAAGCAAAGACACTTTGGTATGCCATACAGAATATTTATATTTAAAGACTTCTATAATGAGTTGTTTGTGAATAAGAAAATTATTTCATAGAAAATTATTTTCCAAAAATTTATAAGTTCTTAATTATTCAGATTTCATTGAAGAAGGGAATAATATTATTAAATTATAGAAAGAAGTAATTTAATGGCAAGAATTATTTTCAAAAAGACATAAGGATAATAATAGTAATAATAATAGTGGCTGGATTTATTGAGCATTTACTAAGTACCAGTCACTATTCTAAGGGATCTACATGTACTATCTTATATAATTCTCTAAACAACTATTACTATTATCCAGTTTACATCCAAGGAAAATGAAGCAAAGAAAAGTGAATATTTGGCCAAGTTCACACACCTAACAAGTAGTTGGAATGTCCATGTAAAAAATATATATATATTTTCAAAATGAAATCACTTGGGAAAAAAAAAAGAAACTAAACTAAATAATCAAACCACACCAAGTGAAAAGAAGCAAAATCAGAGAGAAGAGAAAATTACCAAATATCAGTTTACCCTAAGTCATTCCTTGAAGATAGAGTGTTTGAAAAATATTAGGATCAAAGAAACTATGATACTGTGTTTCTCCATATTTAAAGAAAAACAGTGACAGGCCTGTGGCCCCCAGTCTCCCCTGCCGCCTCCCCCAGGCATGACACAAGGCCTCAGCTCCCTAGGGCAACAGCACCGCACAGCACCTGGACTCCAAGCCCCGCGCCAAAGCTGATGGTGAGAACATCAGCTCCATGTTCCAGGAGAAAGGGATGATGGAGTCGGTGCACACGTGTCAAGACCACAGTTATTTAGCGACCAACATAAACAAAAATGGCAGCTTTGCTAATTTGAGAATTTACCCACATGGATTGGTGTTGTTGGACCTTTAGAGTTACCGCCAGTCTTTTGAACAAAATAGAAGCAAGAATGAAAGACCTGAGTCAGGACCGTATTTGGCGGGTGAAGCGATGACCACCCATAGTTCGAGGAAGGGCCATAGACGGATACTGACCCACCACTAATGGTCGCCTGGTTGAGTAAGACATAGATGTAGTGGTGTATGATGGAGATTCACTTTATCAGAACATTAAAATTCTACAATCGAAGCAGTTTGGAAATACTCTCATCCTTAGTGGGGCTGTTACTCTGGCAGAGAGTGATTTGGGTATCCCCAGGCCATCATGCGCAGTGGGAAAGACTAAAGAGGCAAAGACGCACTGATTCTGGGGGGTGGAGATGGGGCATTTTATGTGAAATAGTCAAACTGAAACCAAAGATGGTCACCATGGCAAGAGATTGGCCAAATGGATGGATATAAGAAACACACGTGAAAAACATGTGGCCACGTCTTACACAATCTGAAAGGAGACTGCTCTCAGGTCCTACTAGAAGACTGTATTCCAGTGCCGAAGAGGTTAACCAAAGAAGGGAGAGAGTTTGACTATATGATTAATGATTTGACAGCTGTTCCGATCGCCACATCTCCAGAAGATTCCACATGGGAGTTTCTCAGACTGATTCTTGACCTCTCAGTGAAAGTACTGAAACAGGATGGGAAGTATTTTACACAGGGTAACTGTGTCAATTTGAGGGAAGCCCTATCACTCTATGAAAAACAGCACTGGCACCTATATTGTCTTGTGGAATTCTTGAAGGAGTTCCTCTGTGTTCCTTCAAACTTGGACTTGTGAGTATTTTACAATTTGGAAGAAAGCTAAACCTTGAAGACCAGTATCCCCTAATCGTGTGTACTGCAAATAGCCTTCCTGACCTTCATATGCGGTACAGGAGATTGGAATGAGTCAGGCAATTGATTGTGAATTCTTTCAGGTTTTCTTTTTTTTTAATTATTATTTTTAATTTTTAAAAAAGCAAATGGAAAATGTATATGTTGATGAGCTAGGGTGGGTTGTTGGTGGTGGCTTTTTGTTTTTTGTTTTTTTGTTTTTTGAAAGTCAGCTGAAGAATGCTTAGACAGCACAGGGAAGCCTGCTAAATGCACTGAACCCCTAGAATGTGATTTTTGTTACTTTTTTGTGTGTGTTGGGGGGGTGCTTTTTGTTTTTGCTTTGGTAGACTTCAAATTTGGTTGTTTGGAGGAATGAACATCATTGTTTTGTTCTTGATGCTGTTTCCCAAAAGATTTACTTAGATATTAAAATTTGGTGCTTATAAGAAAGAGTTAAGAAAAAAATGAGTAGCAATGTTTTGATTAAAAATACAAATGAGAAAAAAATTAAAAAGAAAAGAAAAAATAGGGCGCCTGGGTGGCTCAGTTGGTTGGGCGACTGCCTTTGGCTCAGGTCATGATCCTGGAGTCCCTGGATCGAGTCCCGCATTGGGCTCCCTGCTCGGCGGGGAGTCTGCTTCTCCCTCTGACCCTCCCGACCCTCCCCCCTCTCATGTGCTCTCTCTCTCTCTCAAATAAATAAATAAAAAATCTTAAAAAAAAAAAAGAAAAAAAATAACTTGCTCAAGCTTACCCAATCTTTGGGGGACAAAACCGGGATTTCAGCGGGTGTGGAGCATTTCAAAACTCTTTCCACTAGTCCAGATAGGCTTTCAATGGTTAGCGTATATCTTCCTGTAGACCAAGGATACAAACAGGTAACCCACAGATGAATACAACTTGCAGGTGTGGTAAGTTTGACTCTCAAACGGTGTAAGTCCAATATTTTTAAACTGGGAGATTTCTCACAGAAATCTGAATTGTAAATGAAGTTTCAGAAGATTTGAGAATACTAGAGCCCACAAAACTACCTGGCAACAGTCTGCAGGAGCTGGATGCCCTCTCTGAGAGAGGCCCAGAGCTTTCCTTTGTCTCAGCCTCCCTGGTCTCCCTGCTTTCCCTGAATGCCACCTGCTTTGCTCATTTACATCAGCTTTCCAGCCCCTAGGACGTGATTTGATGACCACTTCTTTATGTTTTCACTTTGATCCACATTTATTACCTCTGGGAAGGAACATAAGAAGGTATATTAGCCGTTTGTATTTTGCTGGGAATATATCTGATGTGTTCCTGAGACAGAAAGAAAAAAAATTAATGAAATCATGAACATGTCCTAAAAACTGGAAAGTGATATTATATTTTTAAAAATTAACCTCTTCTCTAACTTGCAGTTTTTCTCTTCTACCTCTTTATAATCCCATAATCTTCCTATCTGGCATAAGCAAGCCCTTAGAAACCTGGTTCTATGCCAGTATGCAAAGAGCTCCCATTGGTATTCACTGGCAATCTGCCAAGGTCTACAGCATTTGAATACACCATGTTACTTTACTTTAAGTACCTTTATAGAAATTACTTCAAGGTTATACAGATTATTCCAGTTTATCTTTTTAGGCCATTATTAAATACTGTCTTCCTAAATTTAAGAAACACTTTTTTTTTTTTTAAGATTTATTTATTTGACAGAGAGAGAGACAGTGAGAGAAGGAACACAAGCAGGGGGAGAGGGACAGGGAGAAGCAGGCTTCCTGCGGAGCAGGGAGCCCAATGTGGGGCTCGATCCCAGGACCCTGGGATCATGACCCGAGCCGAAGGTAGACACCCAAAGACTGAGCCACCCAGGCGCCCCAAGAAACACTTTTCACAGGGAATTTTTCTAATGCATTTTGAATTTTGGTAAGCAAATCTTTATTTTACAATCAAAAAAAGAGCTGACTACTTAGACCCAGGTGAATCTTTTCTAAAAATAAATGATAGGGATGCCTGGGTGGCTCAGTCGGTTAAGTGTCTGCATTCCACTCAGGTCATGAGCTGGGGTCCTGGGATTGAGTCCCACGTTGGGCTCCTTGCTTAGCAGGGAGCCTGCTTTGCCCTTTACCCCTCCTCCACTTGCACTCTCTCTCTTTCTGACAAATAAATAAATAATCTTAAAAAAATTTTAAAAACAAAATAAATAAAAATAATTGATAATAATAATTATGTATGTATGAACACATATCTACATGTATATATACACATATAGTATATATACATGTAAATATATTTGAACATATATATATTAAAGTGTGAGATATCTATCTCCCACTGCTTAAAGAAAAGAACCCAGTGATATCCTCAAATGAGGCCTTTTTCTGTGTGCATATTCTAGAGTAATGGAGGCATTCGGAGTATGGCCATTCAACACTTTGGTGAATTACTCAGGGACATGAGTCAGTACACATGGATGCTGAATGATGTGGTTCTTGGAGGCTTGGTGCCTCTGATCCTGTTTTTGGAGGACACAGAAGTAAGAGTAGTTCAAGTAAGTCCTACAATCTTTTTTTTCTTAATTTTGCAGAGAATCTCAGTGTTTTATGTAACATCAGATGAACAGATCCTCAGTGACCTTTTTCTACTTCACAGGCATGTAAGTATACATTAGCAATTTGTGTCTCAGAATTAAATTGGCCAACATCGTATTTGCTCAAAGACGAATTTTACAGTTTTGAGGTGGTGGTGCTCAACATCTGTAACAATCTTGTAAGTAACCCCTCAGTATTTACTACCATAAGAGTTATAGAAATAACTTTAAAGGAGATCACAAGTGATGAAAGGTGTGGCAGGGACAAGAGTGGATCCTGGAGAAAGAATGTGAAGAAAAGGTAACACATGAGTAATTACAGCTAGGGCTTAAGACCAGAAAAAAATTCAATTTTCCATTACCTCTTCCCTGACATTAATTCTCTCTGATTTTCTTTCTCCAACTCACCCACTTTGCCCTATGGATGGTTATAAAGGTAGGAAGAGCATTTCAGATCACCAAAAGCAAAACTGCAATTATTTTGCCACCATCTAATAAGCTGGTGCTCTGAAAACCAGTATGAACTGCAGTGATAAACAAGTGGGGTTGGAAGAATGCTTTCCAAAGGTTGGAAACACAAAGTTGGGAATTACATAATAGACTGAATACATCAACAAACAAAAGAGTAAAGAGATTACTATCCCCTAGTTTTAAATTGGCCCTGATTTGGTATAAGCAACCAAGCTCTTTTTTCTGGAAGCCTCTCCAGAGGGAGCAAATGTGCTTTTTCCAATGATTGAGTATTTTTTCTTCATTTTATTCTCAGCTTACTTCTCATGAGAACTACATTACAGATTTGATCTCTGATACCTTAGGATTCCTGAGAAGCTCCCGAGTATATCTGAGGAGAGCATCAGTTATTTTAATAGGTAAAGAAAATTCAACTCTCATTATCTAATTTTCCTTAAAAGGTACAAAATGGGGTAGCAGCTGGAAGTGTTTCTTTAAAAAATATAAATTTTCTTAGTTTATGATGGGCAGCACCTGCCATGGTGATATCTATGAATAGAAGTTAATGCATGTGATGATAATAGAGTTCTGTTTTATAATGCAGTGAGTATTGCTGTGTGATTAAATTATTATACAAAGTGTATCCAACAAGATGAATTTCAAATTTAGGATGGACATCTCTAACTACAAACTACAACAAATGAGGAAATGCTACCAAATACAGCAAAGTTTTTTTAAAAAAATATTGTGGAGGGAGGGGAGATGCAGGAAGATTCCAACAGAAGACACCTAAGGTTTTTGATCTTGGACAACCTGACCAAAAAAAATTTTTTCCCATTAAATTCTCACCATAAAGATCAGAATTAATAAACCTTTATTTGGAATGACAGGAAGTGAGCTCCCAATTTGACTGTGGGATCTTTCCTCAGCCCTATTTGGCATCATGGAGTAGCAGGGCCACCAAGGACTGAGGAAACACAGTCATGTTGTACTTGTAGTGAGGAGTCTTGTCATTTAGTTAGGGTAGAAGGCAAGCTGAACTATGATTATCACTAGAGCTCCTGATCTCTATTGATATTAGAGGAGTAAAGAAACACATACAGAAAACCCTGTGTCATAAGAGCTTTATTTCAAACCAGAAAGAATTCCTGCTATCTTGAATTCTATCCTGGAACTTTCCACAAACACTCCTCTGTATATAATATTGCAAGATCCAAAAATAAGTAATTTAAAAAAGCATTATCTTTCTACAGAGGTATTCCCAGGGGGAAAATAGAGGAAAAAAGAAAAACAAAGTTTAGAAAATGTTTCTACAGACCAGGTAAAAATCAGGATATATGTTTCTGTGAGTCCAAAACTTTTTTATATAAAGATAGGGTATAGATACAAACACACAGGAAATATAGGATGGGATAATGGGAGCTCAGGAAAAATAAGCCTTGAAAGCATGGGGGGAAGCGTAAGAAAAAGTGCATAAACATTTTTTAAAAGTACACTACAACCAGCAGAAGAGAAAATATATATTGTTGATAATCCAGTAAAAGACAAGGGGTACAAGGCTGAGAAATGCTAGCAAAAGGAATGAAAACCAGCAAGAAACAGTTCCAAAAACTAAGGGACAATAAGAGATATGGAAGATAAATGAAAGACATCACCCATCCTGAGGGAATTACAAATCAAAACCACAATGAGATACCACCTCACACCTGTCAGAGTGGCTAAAATTAACAACTCAAGGAAACAATAGGGTGTGGAGAAAGAGGAACTCTTTTGTGCAGTTGGTGGGAATGCAAACTGGTGCAACTACTCTGAAAAACAATATGGAGATTCCTCAAAAAGTTAAAAACAGAACTACCCTATGGCCCAGCAATTGCACTACTAGGTATTTATCCAAAGGATACAAAAATGCTGATTCAAAGGGGGACATGCACCCCAATGTTTATAGCATCCCTATCAATAATAGCCAAATTATGGAAAGAGCCCGCCCAAATGTCCACCGATTGATGGATAAAGAAGATGTGGTATACAATGAAATATTAGCGATCAAAAAGAATGAAATCTTGCCATTTACAACATTGTGGATAGAACTGGAGTTTATTATGCTAAGCAAAATAAGTCAGTCAGAGAAAGACAAATATCATATGATTATGATTTTTGTATTAAAATAAAATTCCACTCATGTGGAATTTAAGAAACAAAACAGATGAACATAGGGGAAGAGAAGGAAAGGTAAAATAAATAAAAACAGAGAGGGAGGCAAATCATAAGAGACTCTTAAATATAGGAAATAAGCTGAGGGTTGCTGGAGGGGAGGTGGGTGGAGGGATGGGCTAAATGGGTGACAGGCATTAAGGAGGGCACTTGTATTGAGCACAGGGTGTTATATGTAAGTGATGAATCAATAAATTCTACTCCTGAAAGCAATACTACACTATATGTTAACTAAATTGAATTTAAATTAAAAAGAAAGAAATGGAACTATACATAAATGATATCCCTGGAGAAGAAAAATTATTAGAGCAGAAAAAGGGTTTCAAAGATATAATTTAAGAAATAAAAAAAGACTTGATTAAATAAATTGAGGTGGTAAATAATTTTTCAAGAAACATTTTATACAGAATACAACATTAAGACATTTCCTAATAAAGTTATGGAACTTCACAGTTAAAGAATTCTTGAGCATTTAGGGGGGTAAAAGTCATCTACAAATTACAAAATAAGTAAATCTGTCATTAGATTTCTCCCTTCAGTATTCAACCCTAAAATACAGAAGAATAGTGCCTACAAAATCCTAAGTAGAAAATAAAGGGGAGGGAGGAATAAAGAAGGAAGGAAGGGAGAGGGGAGGGGAAAGCAAGAGGGGGGAAAGGAAAGAAGGCAAAAAAGAAAGCGTCCCAGGGGGAGGGAGATGAGCATGAGAGGAAGGAAAGGAAGAAATATGGACAGACTGAAGGAAGGGAGATCCAGAAAAAACTCTACAATACATGCAATATTTCTATTTTAAACACTTGCAAATATTACTGAAAGACACAAAGAAGATTTGAATAAATAGAAAGGTATAAACCATATTTTGGAAAAAGAATCAAAATTTAAAATGTGCATGGAAGGGATGCCTGGGTGGCTCAGTCAGTTAAGCATCTGCCTTCAGCTCAGGTCATGATCCCAGAGTCCTGGGATCAAATACCACATAGGGCTCCTTGCTCTGCGGGGAGCCTGCTTCTCCCTCTGCCTGCCACTCTCCCTTCTCTCTAGCTCTCTCTCTCTCTCTGACAAATAAATAAATAAAATCTTTTTTAAAAATGTGCATGGAACATATGCATGGAATGATATGCCAATTAAAATATCAGTAGGGGGTTGCCTGGGTGGCTCAGTCTGTTAAGTGTCTGCCTTAGGCTCAGGTAATGATCTCAGGGTCCTAGGATTGAGCCCCTAATCTGGCTTCCTGCTGAGCAGGGAGTCTGCTTTTCCCTCTCCCTCCACACCTCCCCCTGCTCGTGTGCACTCCCACACGCGCACGTGCATGTGCTCTCTTTCTCTCTCTCTCTCAAATAAATAAATAAAATCTGAAAAATAAATAAAATTAAAAATAAAAAATAAAATATCAGTAGGGCTTTCTTTTCTCAAAAGTGACATGATGATTATAAATTAATGTGGAATTTATCATACAAGAGTATCCAGGAAATTCTAACCAAAAAAAAAGAGAGAGGGGGACAGAGACAAAGACAGAGAGGACTATCTCTATCAGAAATTAATATAGCTACAGTACTTAAAATCACATGGAATAAATAGAGAAACAAATAGAACAAAATACCATCTAGAAATAACCATCAAAACATGCAATATTTTAAAGTGAATCATTGGCTTTAACAGTGATGAAAATATAGAATATTTCTTAAATAGCTTGGGGACACCTGGTGAGCCATCTGGAATTTAAAAAATTATTTTATTCCTATCTTACTTCTTACTTTAAATAAATTCCAGATAGTCAAAGGCTCAAATGCTGAAGATGAAACCATAATAATGATAAGCAAAATTAGTTAGAATAGTATGGAAGAATTTGCTTTATAATCAGGGGGTGGGTAAGATCTTTCTAAGGTAAAAGTCAAAATCTAGGAACCATAAAGAAAAGATTGATAATCTAGGAAAAAAGTAAATATTTCTGCAGGGCAAAACCACTATAAACAGAGTGAAAAACCAAATTGAGATGAAATACTTATGACACCACAAATGAAGGGTTAGTTCTTCCTGTCCAAAGATTCTATACAAATCCATAAGAAAAGACAACCCATTAGAAAAATGGACACTGAACATGAAAAAAATTATTTGGCTCATAAACATGAAATTTTCATAACTTCATCTAAAAAGTGATGCAAATTGAAATGATGAAATGTTTCCATCCATCACACTGACAAAGATCAAAAAGTTTTATACTCGACCGTCACCGTGAGGTTGCAGGAAGTAGGTAATCTCTTCACATTACTGGTGAGAGTGTAAATAGCTACCATCTCTAAGAAGAGCAGTTTGATAGTATCCATCAAAATGTGAGATGTGGGGCGCCTGGGTGGCTCAGATGGTTGAGCGTCTGCCTTCGGCTCAGGTCATGATCCCAGGGTCCTGGGATCGAGTCCCGCATCGGACTCCCTGCTAGGCGGGGAGCCTGCTTCTCCCTCTGCCTCTGCCTCTCTCTCTCTCTCTCTGACTCTCATGAATAAATAAATAAAACATTTTTTTAAAAATGTGAGATGTGTACTCTTTTGACTCAACCTCCTCTCAGGAGGACTAATTCTCTGACACACTTGCATGTGAGAAATGATGTGTGTACCTAGATATTCATTGCATTGTTGGCTTTATTATGCCACCCGTCCTTAGCATGTGGCATCTCTCCCCATCTGTGTTTTCTGATTACCTTCAGCATTTCAACAGTGTTACACCAAGGAAGAAACAAAAAAAGTAAAGGGCAAAAATTACCTTTTTGTTTCTGCGTCGGCCTGATCTTACAAAGCTTTCTTCAAAGTCTCAACCAGTAGTTTATCTTACACCCCCAGTGACTGTAAGGGTCATTGTGTTTTTCAAATCATTAGTTGAAAGAAATGCTTGGAATTATGTTTTGTGTTGTTTTGTTTTGTTTGTTTTGTTTTTAATGGGCAAGAAGAGGACAATGATATTGATTGGCAGCTAGCAGTATGTCATAGCAGCTGACATGTAAAAATTGGGGGGTTTTCACATGAGTCTCTCTGGATGTCCAATTATTTTGAGCATGGGGGAAGGAAAGATAAAGCGCCCCTGAACCACCATGGTAGCAAACTGAGTGGAGTTAACAGTCACCACACTCATGGCTGGAGCTTGTAATTCCTGTCCACCACTCTCCCCACCGCCACCAACTGCCATCTTCCACACAGCTGCGGTTACACTCATGTGGGCCTTGTTGGCATTTTGGTTCATCCACCATGTTTGTCAAATCATCAAATTCTGCTCAATCTTTCTTTTGTGACTTTCACAACCACCCTGTCAGGAGAGCCATTCAATTTTCAGGTGTTGTTGCCTAACTTTGCCACCTGTTTTGTTCCTTTGGTGGTAATACTGCATTTATGAAATATGTCCCTGCCCTGTAAGAAAGACCCAAATATAGCTGTGGCTGATACAGGGTAGTAGTTTATTTCTCTCTCATGTAGCAGGCCAAGTGCCTACTACAGGCCAAGTGTTCTCTTGCTCTAGCGTCCTCATCACAGTTTCCTACATCAAGCCCAAGATGTTTGCTCCAGCACCTGCAACCACTTCTACATGCCAGTCAACTACAAAGGAAAAAATATCAAGAGGTCACACCCAACTCCTTAAAGAGTAAATATGCTTCTGCTGAATGATCATTAGCCCAGAACACAGACATGTTGCCAAAGTGCAAAGAAGTCTTGAAAATTCCGACATCTGCTGGGTAGTCATATGTCCAGCTAAAATGCAGTGGCTTTAGTAAGGGAACTAAAGGAAAGAAGCAATTTGACATTGGGGGGAATTAGTACTTTCTAGCATCGGAAACTTTTATTCATCTATTTGTATTCTCCATCGAATTCTAAAAGGAATTGCATTGGATTACGAAATTAAGCAGATCTAAAAACTTGACATTTAAGGATACCTCACAACACACATTGTTGTTTCAAGCATTGTTCTTAAAGGTTTAAGCCCATGTTCCCCCCTGCCAAGAACAGTCACTTGAGCTTTATGATCTGTAGATGGGTTTTGAAAATGATCAATTGTGATTTTTGTGATCACTGTTTTGACTAAAGCAGAGACAATATGAAATATTGGTGGGGGTTAGATCAGCTTGCCTTCACATCTCACAATGAATGCCCATTAGCCATGTGACCTTTACCAAGTTACTCAACCTCTGTGGGCTTGGTTGTATAATTTGTAAAATGAGGATAATAAGAACAGTTTCAAAAAGGCTTTAAAACCCTATCTGAAATTTAAGAGCTTTTATAAAGACAGTGATCCAGAACAGAAGAATAGAAACACCAAAAGAAGTAGACCTGATATCTGGGGATTATTTCCTTTTTCAGGTTTTGCCAATTCTAAATGCAAAAGTGGTAGTTAGGAAGCTGAAAAACAGTGCATAAATTTTAGGTTTCACTGAACTGAAGGAACAAAACTTGCAATAGACTGACCATGAGGAGGAACTCTAGTAAATACTCCCAGGCTTTTCCAGAACTAAAATAAGGTAGTAACAAGAAATAAAATGTATACATTTGGACAAAAGAAAATAAAACTTTTAAAATTTGTAGATAAAAAATTATATTTAAAAATATTTAGAACACTGGAAAGAATTAAGAAAAAAACTATTTGAATAATTTGTAAATTTAGCAAGTTTTCTACATACAGCATCAAAATACAAAGATCAATTGGATTTCTATATCCCAGCAATAAACAACCAGGAAACCACATTTTTTTAAAGATTTCATTTATTTATTTGAGAGCCTGAGAGAGAGAGAGCACAGAGGGAGAGTGGAAGGGGGAAGCAGACTCCCTGCTGAGCAGGGATCCCGACGTGGGCCTCGATCCCAGGACCCTGAGATCATGACCTGAGCCAAAGACAGACGCTTAACCAACTGAGTCACCCAGGTGCTCCAGAAAACCAAAATTTTGAAAATGCCTAATACAACAGCACCAACAAAATCATCAAATGCCTCAAAACAAAACTAAGGAAAGATGTACAAGACTGATACACAGAAAACTAGAAAACATCAAGAAAATTTTTAGAAACTTTAGAGTGACATATCATGTTCGTGGATTAAAGGATTAGATATTATGGCAATGTCAACTCTCCCCAAATTCATCTGTAGATTCAATGCAATCCCAAACAAAATTTCACCAGGGGTGTGTGTGTGTGTGTGTGTGTGTGTGTGTGTGTGTGTGTGTGTGAAATGAGGCAAGCTGATTCTTAATTTTACATGAAAATTTAATGGTTAGAGAGTTAGCCAAGATAATTTAAAGAACCACAAAGCTGAAGAACTTCCACTACTGGAAAGATATCAGGACATGTCATACATTAAGGTAGTGTGGCAGTAGCAATGATAGAATGAAGTCAAGACATTGACCCCCACACATTTTATGATGTAAGTGACTCTGCACAGCAGTAGGGAAAGGACTTTTTTTCTTTTAATGGTGCTGGGTTAATTACACAGGTATATAAAAAATATATTGACTCCTACTTTATACCGTATAATTATAGTTCAGTCTACAATCCCAAAGAGTAAAAGGTAAAACAATAAAGCCTCTAGAAGTAAGTATAGTAGAATATCAGTATGACTTTGAGACAGCAAAGATTTTCTATCAGGACTCCAAAACTCACTAACCATAAATAAAAAGATGGTGAATTGGACTGCATTAAAATTAGAGACTACTGTTTACAAAAACAAAAAAATACAAAAAGAAAAGTTTAGTCCCAAAGTAGGAGGAGATATTTGTAAGTCATGTGACATTAAAAAAGATTAGTATCCCAAATAAAACATGCCTACAAATATATAAGTAGGGGCGCCTGGGTGGCTCAGTTGGTTAAGCGACTGCCTTCGGCTCAGGTCATGATCCTGGAGTCCC